GGAAAAAAAAAAAAAAAAAAGAAAAAAAAATAAACACAAAAAACCAAAAAAAACCCTTAAAATCTTAAAATCACCCCCTCATCCTGACACACAGCTGAGGACCAGTGCCATCACTCTGGGATGCTTGTGGAGAGCAGCCAGCGGAGTTGATGAGCGAGGTCAGAGGCAAATCTGCCTCGAGTACATGAGACATGGGGTGTAAAAGACCCTGCACATCCTGGCAAACCAGCTCTGAGCTTACCCAGGTGGAGAAACACATCTGCATCGGGATTTTCCATCCCCAGGATGTAATGCCAAGATGGTCCTTGAAGGCTGGACCATCCTCCCAGAACATCTAACATTTTTTTTGGGTCTGGGCTCAGGCAAGAGCTAGATGTGGGCTGTGAGCATCCCTCCCGCCAGCCTGTATGAAGCACAGTTGTTGATTTTCATGCTTATGAGAAGACAAACCGCAGGGCACGGCAAAGCCACACATGAAGGTTTGCCCATGACCCTACCGGCGGGGAACAGACACAGCTTCACCTCAGGTGGGCAAAGGATTTGCTCTTATTTTACTTGACTTGGTCTTTTGTAGGGAAAGGAGCCATCCCAAAGGCAGCTTCCCAGGGGGAGCAGCCCATAAGTGGGATGTTGGGGCTGAAGGGGCCTGGAGTGTGGTTGAGCCACTTCATCCAGACTTCTGCCTCAGGGCGGAGATGCTCCATCCTGGAGAGGTCTCCTCTGGAGATCCTCCCCTCTTTCCAACAGTCAGAGGAGAGGTTGAAAATGAACAAAAAGGAGGTAGGTTGTTCTTCAGCGGGCTGCAGACATCCGCACCTCCTTGCCAAAGGATATTGGGGTGCAACGGATTCACCCGAGTACCCCGGGACTGGATGAAACCCTCCATAGCAGGTAACTCAAGATGCAAAGCACCAGAGGTTCAAGAAAGAGCCTCTGTAGCATTCAGTTTGGCTCACACCTTCTCCAGACCCCTGTCCTCCCCAGATCCATCTCCAAACCATCCCCATCTTGCCGCAGCGCCCAGAACTGCGTCAGCTGCCTCCGTCCTCCCTGACAGATCCCCCGATCTGCAATATTTTTCCATGACGGAAAGCTATTCTGAGATACTTTATGGCCCAAACCAGAGCTATGATGCCCACTTTAAAGGCTCTTTCATCTTCATTAGGCCGATCTGAGCAGTTTATGTTTATAAGGAAGATGCGAAATCTATTTAGGAAACCTCATTGAGTTGAGCGGCTGCAGGTGAGGGGCTGAAATGAAGCATTCTCTGCCATGGCTTTGGCAGCCTGGGCCGGATGCCTCTGCTCTCACTGGCCTCGCAGTCGGAGTTTTCAGACCTCCCTCCTGGAGAAACCCACAGCTGGGGCTCAACCTCCCTGCTCCCAGTGCCGGGGAGCACAGCATCTCCCAGGGATGTTGGTGTCCCAGCACCTCTGGAGGATGCAGGAGTGCAACCTCCATTACTGGTGTGCTGGAGTGACCGGCTTCCCCTCCCAGCGCAGGACTGTTCCTGGTGTAACAGCAGGATACTCATTATATTTTATTACAGAGCTTTTTTTTTTTTTTTTTTTTTTTTCCAAAGGAAGTCCAGCGTATAAATTATTAGTGGATGCAGCCAGCTCCCAGGCAGAAGGACAAGAGTAGTGGAAAGCCAAGATGGCAAGAAAAGGATCCTCCAACGGAGAGAAAACCCATTAGGAGGAACCTCTTCTTCCTTCTCCCCAAACAGGGGCAGAGCTGAAGACCATTCAGGACCATATAATTACACTGCAAGAGCAGCATCCTCCAGCCCCTGCTCTGAGCATGACTGGCAGCAAGACAAGTCCCCAGGGCTCTGCTCCAACAAACTGCCCAGCCCTGGGGACTTCATTTTAGGGACCTCTCGAACGAGATGTGGTGGCTTCACCATCACCTTGTCCCCATAAAAGCCACAGGGTCAGGACGTGCAGCCCTTTCCCGGCAGGGCTGGGTGCCGGGGTGAGGTGTCTGTGGGTGAACAGGCTCGTCAGCCGCGTGATTTCTGGCCTTTCCATTTTAATTTGAAGAACAGGTCACACCTGGGTGTGAATGAGCTCCGGGGCTGGGTGCGAATGTCGTGAATGTGCGAATGTGCTCAAATCCCATGGGACGTGGGGCAGCCGCCCCGCCGGGCTGTAAACACCGGCGTCATGGGGGCAAGAGGTGCTCTGGGGTTTGCAAAAACCTTGCGGTGGGCACGTAGGTCTGTCCTAGGACCCACATGTCCCTCTGTGTGCTGTTGGGTGCCGAGGCAGTCCCCTTCCCGGTTATCTCAGGACAGATTTCTTGCAGTGCTTTGCAGAGAGCTGACCTGTCCTCTGTTTGAACAAGTCTCCTGGGCTCGGCACCCACTTCTGCTCCTGCCTGGGTGCAGCTGGTGGGGTGGGGAGTGGTGCTGAGGACCCCACTTCATCCAGACCAGCTTCAGCTCGTGTTTGGTGAAATGGGAGGAGGGTGGATCCACGGGGCAGCTGCACTAAGGACTTGCTCAGGGAACGATGAGCAGGGACCCAGGAGACATCCAGACGAAGAGACAGCTGGATTACTACCGCAAAACTATCAGCCTCCACTTCTTGAAGATTTTAAAGCCAGAGAACACTTACTGGTGGTAAATCGGAGCCTTGGAGCCAGCGACTGGCAGATCATCCATAGGATTAGGGCATTTTTGGGGTGCATAAATGGAGGTGAACACATCTGTGCACACCTGGAGCAGTGGTCTCCAGCTGGCTTTGATCAAGGGGTCCCTTCTGAACCCCCTTGTGCCTGCTTTGTGCCTACGGCAGGTGGTAAAATATAAGCCCTGCACCTTGCTCTTGGAGGAAAAATGCTGATGCTTGGTTGTAGCCTCCTTGTAGGAGCAAGAACAGTTGTGGAGTTAGGGACTGGGAATCCCACCACTGATTCCTTGGCCCAGCAGGCACCTGGGATCAGGTTTAAGCTCAAGTGAAGGTGCTGAGCTCCACAGCAAGAGCAGCCCAGGGCAGCCTCCATTAGAAAAAAAAAAAAAAAAATCAAAAAAAGAGCCTTTTTTGGCTGGGATATGGCACACATGAGTTTTACTGCAGAGAGGGAAGTCCTTTTCCTTTCTCCTGGAGTCAACTGGTTTTCCTGATGGCTTTAATAAAGTCAAGGTCAGACCTAAAATGAAGAAGGAAACGTCTGTGTGGCATGTGAACTGGTGGAACTCACTGCTGTCTTGCCTAAGCTCACTGATGACAGCGCCTTTTCGTCAGCACTATTTATATGCTAAAATCTATAATTGTGGCTGATTCTCTCCGATTCGAACCAAAATTGGGCACTTCTCTAGGAACCGACAACTAAAGGCATTTGAGGATCTGAACGATGTCACTCTGATATTTTTGCTTGTAGGTGTTTGCTGGCATTCTCTTTTCTTCTTGATATTTGCAGCCAGCTTGAGTCATGTCACCTCACTGGATAGATCATGCACCGCCTGTAATTGCAGGATCCGTTCAAGACTGCAGCAAACACTTTACCAGAGCAAAGCCCTGCAGGAACAAGAGCCTTTTTAGCCTGAACAGGTTTGTTTTTGCTGCTCTTCTGGGTTCATGGTGAGGGATGCATCTTCACTGCAGCAACTTGTGCTTGTTAGGAGAGGCTGGTAAGCAGCGCATGCTCGGAGCAATCTGTGGGTCGCCGTGTTTGAAAGCCCTTCATGGATTTCTTTTTCACAAGCTTTTCCAGTGTTCCTTTCAAGCCAATGATCTTTCAGCACCTATAGCACCCCTTGGCCGGGAGCTGCACAGCCCATCTTCCTGCTCTCTAAAGAAATGCCTCACTTCTGTTTATAGGAGCAACGTTTCCAATGGCACAAGTGTCTGAAAGGATTCGTGCCTTGCTGATCACCCTTCACGAGCCTCATCTCCCTTAGAAAAGATGCTCTGGTGGGTACCAGCTGCACATCTTGCATCAGGACAGGGTTTGTGACACCAGCTTTGCACCAGCCGGAGCATGATGGGGACCTGGAGCCTCAAGTTGCTTGGCTGGAGCGAAAGGGCTTTGGGTGGCCACAGTGCAGTGCCTGGGGGTGCTCCCAGGCGGCATCTGGTCTTGGTGGAGATGTAGCTGGTGAGCAGAGTCGAAGATGGGGGAGAAAGGCTGTCTGCACCCGGGTGCATGACCCCAGAAGACATTGCAGCAAGGCAACCTGCAAAAGCAGGTGAGGGAAAAGAGCATGTGGTCTTCCAAGCCTCCTTTGAAAGCCAGCAACTTTGAGCTGGGGCCTCAGACTTTTCTCTCTAGGGAAGGTGTTGGCTTGCACACCAGTCTTTGAGCACCTCTTGTCATATTTATCCCCACTGTGGCTGAATTTCCCAAAATATTGATAGACTGGAAAATGTCAACATGTTCTGGCACCTCCGGAATTCCCTCATCTTTCTCGGGTTGATTTTTCCAGCCAGCAGATTCATCCATCTGGCCCAACCCTTCCAAGGAAGCCCTATCCTGCAGCTCTGTCTTGATCCCTTTAGAAATTATGACAGGGGTCTGCAGCTTGATCTTCCATGGCTTTGGAAAGTTGGAGCTGGGCTTCTCTTGGCCGTCACAATCGAGCTGATTTGAGTTGTCTGAAGGAGGAAGGAGAAGAGGAGGCTGAGGGGAGACCCTCATCACTCTCTACAACTCCCTGAAAGGAGGTTGGAGAGAGGTGGGA